TACATGCTTAATGTAAGATTAGCCAATTTGATTTGGAAAGATCTCCATATTTCACCCAAGGAACTAAGACTAGACACTTTAAGATGTGGTCAATCCTTTCGATGGAAGAATGTAGAAGACAAATGGATATCGGTACTACAAGGAAATCTTATTGTACTAAAAGAAACTCGTGAGTTATTTTTTTCTTTTTATTCCGAAAAGTTCATATTGATAGTTTGGTCAATCATTAGCGTCTAGTGTATTCTATGGAACTGTGAATGGTTCAGACAAGATAGAACCATTACTAAGAGACTATTTCCAGCTTGACAAGGTATCCCTAGAATCATGCTACAGCCGTTGGTCTCAGCTGGATGCAAATTTTAAGCTCAAATCAGTGCACTTTCAAGGCATCCGTATCCTTCGTCAAGATCCGTGGGAGAATCTGATTTGCTTTATCTGCTCGAGTAACAACAATATCAGTCGGATCACACAAATGGTCAACAAATTGTGTGTTCATTATGGACAAAAAGTGGGGCAACTAGAAGGGGAAATGTATTATGATTTTCCTACACTGGATAGTTTAGCGCAGGATGGAGTCGAGACCAAATTGAGGGAATTAGGGTTTGGATATCGAGCCAAGTACATTGCAAACACAGCTAAAAAGATAAAAGAAGAACATGGCCAATTAGACTGGTTGTATTCGTTGAGAAAAGTCAGTTATCAGGAGGCCAAAGAAGAGTTGATGAGATTTCCTGGTGTTGGACCAAAAGTAGCTGATTGTGTGGTAATACCTTTAAAAAAAGAGAGATAAGAAAAAATAATAATAACTCATCCATGTAGTGTTTGATGTCATTGGATCATCCAGAATCAATACCAGTAGATACACATGTTTGGCAAATTGCCCAAAGATCTTATGGATTCAATAAGAAAGGAAAGTCACTGACGAGTAAATTGTATGTTGAAGTAGGAAATCATTTTAGATTACTATTTGGGGAATATAGTGGCTGGGCGCATTCTGTAAGGATGGAAAGAATATTAGAATAAGTAATTTTATTATGATTAACTTTGATAAAAAAAATTAGGTATTGTTTACAGCAGACTTGAAGTCATTTGAGCAAATATTAAAAAAGAGAAAATTAGAATAAATGCATATTATGAAGCTAGTTTTGATAATTTGGTTGTATAATGTTTAAAAAACTCTTTGACTATTAATAAAATGAGCACATGATTATTTAAACAGAATAGGTTAATTACCACTATCTGAACTACTTGTTCTTCTTTGAATGTCAGGTCGTTTTATTTTGCAAGTGTGAACGGTGGGTGGTTCAGAAGAAAATGATACTAGGCACGTCCTCTGTTTGGGTGGTTCTTGTTTAATAGGCTTAGATTCATACCAAGAGTTAAGCATAGGTAAAGTATCATAGAAAGATGTCCTTTGATCTGGCAACATTGTGTGTTTATAAAAATAAAAAGAAAGAGAGAAAAGGGGAAAGAAACCTTTTGTATATTTCTTGATTTGCGGAGAAAGAGACAGAAATAAAAAAGACCAATTGAAATAGAGTTACACAATAACACAGACAAGGAAATGCATACTTTGAATGAAAAGGGTTCCCCCCCCCCCTTGGGTTGATTATATACAAGATAAATTCCATTCTATAGCATTCTCTCTCTTTCATTCTCTCTCTTTTATTTTTTATAAAAAAATGAGTGGTAAGCAATAGAAATAACTTGTAAAAATCAGACTTTTTAATGTGTTTAAATAGAAGTAAATACTTGTCATAAAAATATAAATAAATCTCTCATCAAGGTTCATTATAGCAAAAGATTGTACGCAAACGACTGCAAGGTTACGTTGGTTTTGCCAATTTACCTAATCAGGTACATCGTAAGTCTGTTAAAACCGGTTTTGAATTTACTTGTATGGTTGTTGGTACGTATACACAATATTTATTATTATTATTATTATTAATTTGTGCGTAGGTGAATCTGGTCTTGGAAAATCAACCTTGATTAATACCTTGTTCAATACTCAAATCATTCCTCCCAGAGAGATTCATATCCCTCAAGAATTACCCAAGACAATTGACATTCGATCTCTGACATCTCATATAGAAGAGAATGGTGTCAGACTCAAGTTGACCGTCGTTGACACTCCTGGCTTTGGTGACTTTATCAATAATGAACAAAGGTAAGGCGAAATACAATGATGATGGTCTCATTGATTGTATTTTTTTTTCTAGTTGGAAACCTATTCTTGGTGACATCGAGGCTCGATATAATACCTATCTTGAACAAGAGACGCGTGTCCATCGTCATCGGTTGGAGGATAACCGTATCCATGCCTGTATCTACTTTATTGCTCCCACAGGTCATTCTTTAAAGCCAATTGATATCGAACTTATGCGTCGTCTTCACAAACGCGTAAATTTGATTCCAGTCATTGGCAAGGCTGATACCATGTCTAATGAAGAAATCATAAGCTTCAAACAACGTATTATGGCTGACATTGAACACCATGAAATCCAAATATACCAGGCTTCTACTTATGAGCATGATGATATAGAAACTGTTTCTGAGAATAGAGAAATTATGTCCAAGGTTCCCTTCGCCATCGTTGGCTCCAATCATGAATATACCACACAGAGTGGTCATCGTTTCCGTGGAAGGCTCTATCCTTGGGGTATCATCGAGGTTGATAATGAAGATCACTGCGACTTTGTTAAATTGCGTCAAATGCTTATTCGGTAAGTTGGATAGTTGCAAAAGAGAGAGAGATAGCTCATAAAGGGGAACCCATTTAGCTCCCATATGGAAGAACTAAGGGAGTATACCAATGATGTTCTTTACGAAAACTATCGTACTGAGAGATTATCAGCCATGGGTTTCCAACAGGATGCATCAGTATTCCAGGAAGTCAAGTAAGTAAAATAATAAAATAATAAAAAGAAAGGTTGAAAAGAATTCTTAAATCTACATATATATAGTCCTCAGCAAAGAATGGAAGAAAGACGTATTGCAAACGAGCAAAGATTAGCCAAGTTGCAATCAGAAATGAATGCCATATTACAAGCAAAGGCTCAAGATAAGGAAAGGAAGTTGAAACAGTCTGAACAGGAGGTAAAAGTCTATAATGATTTATGAATGAATTATAATAACGATGTTATGCATTAGCTCTATATTCGACACAGAGAGATGAAGGAAGCACTTGACAGGCAACTAACAGAACTAGAAGAAAAGAAGCGTAGATTAGACATCGAAAGAACAAAGAAGAAAGGATTTGCTTTTAAATAAATAAATTACCCTATAAGGATTTCATCCATCTATCCAATTTTGCCAAGGAGCGGTCTAAATGTCTAACCTGCGCTGCTAAATCATCGTATTGTATCTTGATCTCTTCCTCTATATCTTCTACTTTAGGTTTGGGATAGGTTGAAAATGCATTCTTGATGGACGTAAAGACGATTTCTATAGACTCTCTATCAACGGATAGATCATCTAGCATATCCTGAATGTACTGTAATTGTCTATATTTTTCCATGTCTGTCTTCTTTGATGTCATTAAAGAGAAAAGAAAAGAGCGGATAAAGAATAATACGCTTATATATCATTGTTTCTCTTTCCTAAATCAATTTATAATCCTTAAGTAAGCCGTGTAACACGCATCTGTCTTTATTTAGTCAACAGCCGTCAACTCCCTGCGGCGCTTCCGATGAACTACAACATTTTTCCCCCTTTCTTTCATGCTTATTTCGGATGAATACCGCCAAGAGCTACTAAACTATTTTCCATGTTTGCCAAAGAAGGGTTTGTGTCTTTTTCTATTTTATTTATGGCTATTTTATTAAACATAAAAGCAGATATTTATTATCAATTGCTAATACAAGCAACAGTCGTCAACTTAAGGAACGCCTTTCCTGAATTAATGACATATGTTGATTACAATAATGGCAGTGATGATGACAATGGGTATTATAAATGGAAACTGGCAAAGTCAGTCCTTAAAAGAGTAGACGATATCGAAAATGATTGGATATACTCTGTTATACCACAAACATCTATATATGGATTCTTAGAATGTCCAGTTCTTCAGAATTCTAAATGTGTAACACTGGACAATTGGGTGGATAAATCAAAATATATTCCAACCATCCCGCTGCCTCCTTTATTACCTTTTCGTGAAATAAGCCAAGAGACAAATGATAAAATACAGCTTGATTCAGCTGTCATGGATCGATTAACGTCTTTTATCGCCGTTTATGGTAAACACGTCATTTAAACTACTTTACATTTTTTTTTTGGTTCACTTTAAAAACAAAAAAAAATAGATAAAAATGAACAAACCACACTCAGTAAGCCAACATGTGCTAATACAAGCCTAACTCAGATAGATGTTCCTTCTCAGCCACAGGAATCCTCTTCTCAGGGCATTGATCTTTATGCAGCTTCATTTCTATCTCAGTCCTATATCAATGACTTTAAAGCTATTTATCAGCAAAAGACTTCAACCAAGAGCAAAGAGACATGCGAATTGAATCATTTCAGATTCAAGTTTTAATTTCAAGATTCTGTAATAAATTTAAAAAGCTTTGATGTGTCATGACTTGATCTAAATGATGTGAATAACACATAACACACATGTAGGTCCTTTTACCTTCACAGTCCCATATAATCTTTGACCACAGATCGTTCATCAACAACATATGTCTATCTCCCAATATGATCAGATGCCTTTTTGCTCTCGTCAGTGCAACGTTTATACGCGGCTCATTTTGCATAAACGCACTTTCAGTCGTACGCACTGTAGACAAGACAATAATTTCTTTTTCACCTCCTTGAAACGCATCTACCGTCGATATTTGAATATTCTTGTACGTACTGTTACCGCTGTTATGCGCAGCCAAGTGGTCTGATAATTTGTCAGCTTGCTCTTTATCTATACACATATATGAATGTCCCTTGTTCATTGTTGAACTATTGCCCTTCCACTACTTACATAAACTGACTACTCCAATTTCACTTGGTAAAACATTTAATTCAATCATACTCTGAAGTATCTTGGCTGTGACAGATACCTCGATATCGTTCCAAAAAGAATTGGTCCTGGCTGATTTCTGTTCTGTACCTCCAATGTCCACAAACAAAACTGTTGGTAATCCTTCAAGTAGAGGTTCACGATCCTGAGGAGTTACTCCATTGAGTAGCCTTCGATCATAAAAGAGCTTGTTACTAATAGCAGATATTTTTGGATGACACTACAAAGATGTTTATAAACAATTGGATGCTTTTGATGTATGCTTACTCTATACTGTGTTCTCAACATAATCGATTCATAACCCATCTAGAAAGATATATAAATGATCAATACACACATGCATATATATACATATATATTTGTATACCTCAATAAATCTATCAAATAGTGTCTTATCCAGCCCTTTTCCTATCTTTCCCTCTTCTGCAGGTGAAACAAGAGTGGGTGGTAACTAATCAATGCAGTAAATACTTGTTGCTTTCAGGTTTCTTAAACTTTGAAACTTACTTGTAAGGGATCACCAACCATCAAGAGACGATGACATGAAAATCGAGTCAGGGGAACCATCGTCAATGGTTCCATAAGCTGTGATGATTCGTCGATCAAAATAAAAGGAAAGCTAACCCCATTAAATATGTCAAACACGGATGACATAAAGGTGGTGCCAACAACAGGAGCGGTATGAATTTGCGAGATACCTTCTGACTTTCGAAAGCGCTGAATTGCAGTAGCAATGTTTTCCAAATCTTCTTCAGAATTTTGCCCATCGTCAAGCATTTGCTCAAGTTCTTTCAGCTCTAACCTCTCTCCTTGGTTAGCATCTTTTTGTTTTATTTCCTATGATGCATTACCTTCATTGCTTGATAGTCTTGCCTTTGCAGTGTAAGGCAGTATATTTTTAGCAATCTTTTTCATACTACCTATTCTTACAAAATGATCGTAGCCAAGCTTGAGTAATGTCTGTAGAATGCGATCCACAGCTACGTTTGTCATGGAAGACACCAAGATCTTGAACTGAACCTGGTCTTCTGGTTCTCGATGTCCATTGACTGTGTCCAGCAGCTCTTGAATAAATAGGATGATAACGGCTGCGAGAAAACTTTTGCCTGATCCGTACACACCATGGACAAGTACGACTGGATGCTGCGATTCTTCGTTCCAGCCAGGACATGTGATCACAGATGCAGCTACCTGGCGCAGTACGTTCTCTTGGTCCGCATTAAGCCGATAACGAGCTACAGTTTCTGCTAATCGAGCGTTCACGTCAATACAATCGTCTCGCCTGAGCTCGATTTGGGCTAATGTGGGCAGTGGCGCAGGCGGTAGCAAGTCCTTTTTCTTTCTACCTTGTCTATCACCTAAAATATAGGGTAGCAGCGGTAGGCTGTCTAATTTTTCTTCCAGTGTATCCAGCATCATAAACTCTGTACTAGCAGAAATGGATCGCAGTGCATATATATATCTAGCCTCACTCACGATTTTATTTGCTATGCGTGCATCTCTTGGAGAAACACAGTCCACCTTAACATATGGTTAGGAACGCATTCTCATTCCTTTTCATCATTACAATCTTACCTCTAGAGTACCATCCGAAAAGGGGCCATAGAATATACTGCGAGCAAGAAATGTTTGACTTGGGTCAAATGTAGACACCTTGGATATTATCCAAATATCATCCTTACTGTACTTTGAATGATGCTCTTTATTTCGAAGCACAAGTCGAAAGCGTGTACTATCTTGATATCGAGTGTCTCCTTTTATTTCACAATCTACATACATGCCGAGTCCCTTGGCTCGAATTGTTCTTTCCAATTCATTTCCTTGCTTTCCATTCGCGTATTTTTCATAGATGGAATAGAAATAAAGACCATAGTTTAATAGCAAGATCTAATCCCAGATATGAGCCATGCTGTGTAAACTTAATAGTACAACTTGCCTCTAAGTGCTCGTAAATGATTTTCTTGAACGTGTCTCTATATACATTGACATTGGGCTGCATTCGAAACATGAGTTGGTTTTGACGGGGTTATTGGTAGAGATAGACACTTACAAATTTCGTAGGCACTATTTTTGATCTTTTTGGATATTTTCTAGACTTTAATACAGCAAGAGCTTTTCGAGAACTCGGAAATTGTAATGTTGCAGTGGTATATCTGCAAATAAAATTAGATACCCCTGTTGCCCATATTAAACAAATACTCACACTCCCTCTACAAATGGCGTTTTGAAAGGCTTGTTTACAGTTGAGTTGGATGGTTCAGTAGGTGATTCGGTAGTTTCAGGTATATTAGAAGCTTTAGTAAATGATCCAATAAATTGATCGCTATATAAATAAAGATGAGCAGTGTAATTAATTTGAAGGATACAATATTACTTACGTTGATGTATTGCTTTTCTTGATGATATTATTTACAGTACTAGATGAGGGTCTTGATAGCCCAAATCGAGCTCTTTTCGGTTGTTGTTGTAAGTTATTTACAGTCGTGTTTTCGTTACTTGTAGATGTCGAAGGCTGGCCAAATGCAGCTTCAACTGTACTCACAGGTAATTCATCAATATCCATCGCATCCTCCAATTCCTCAGGATCAACGTTAACAAGTCTTTGCTTTCTCTTGAGTGGCGAGGTAAATGGTTTGATGGGGCTGTCACTGGATGGTATTGTTGTTGTCGCACTGCTCACCGACGCGGTCGTAGCCTGATCTGCCTCAGTTGCGGATAGTGTGTAACCTGATCCAGAGCTGGTGGTCGCTGTGTTTGGTATATTTCTCCGTGCCATGAGAATAGATTTGAGCGATGGTTTCTTAAAAGGTGTACTCACAGGTTGAGGCGCTGCTGCTACGGGAGTAGTACTGGGTGAATTAACTGGGTCATCGCATGCTTCAATGGTTACAATATGTCCATCAAACTCTATTTCATCGCCTACTGAAGGTATATTTCCTTTATAAAACTTGCGATCAATGTTGTAGCCTTTGTCATCTATCAGTACCAGCTAAGACAAAAAGTGTCAATCGGATAAAAGAAGAAGCAGTTTGTTTGTTTATTTTTTTACTTTTTTATTACTGCCATAATATTTCATTGTCCCGTCTTGCCATGTTTTGAACTTTTTAGCCTTTTGTGCCGTGAATAAGACAGTGAACTGAAGGACTACATTGTCTGCCATTATGTTTAGTAAGAACAAAAGAAGCTGAAAAAAAGAGAAAGGTAGATTTACTTACTGTGCATTTTACACATTTTTCACTCCGACCGACAATAAAAAAATCAAGTCACGAAGCATTAGAATCATGCTCAGGGGCGATACGAAGTTCGCGTTACTTGTATACACAACAATATAATGATACGAAAATAATGAATAACAAGTATGGGATTATTATTAATATCATGATAACAATGTTTCTTTCTATTTGGAAAGACAAGAGTAGACCTAGGTTTACTCTAGAAATTAACCGCATTGAATTCTCCAAAATAAAAATAAACACGGACTTTTTATATTCATTTTTTAAAGTGTAAGAGTATGTATGAGGGATAAAGTATATATTGTTATAAATTATGGCATTACAATAGTAAGCACTAGTCTAGTAATTCTATATAAATAAAAATTTTGCAGTTTAAAAACTCATGAGTGGTGTATGTTGAGTGCCTTTAGGGTATACAATAAGGGTTGCAACAAACAGTCCTACAGAGATACCTAATAACAACGTTTAAGATAAATTGTATATATATCATTCAGTGAACTCACCAATTGACGTTTCAATCATACTTAATGCAAAGCCCGCTCCTTGGTTTGCAAATTCTCCTTGTCCATTCTGTCCAAAAAATCCAAGAGCCGCTTTCAAACCTGTTTGTTTATCAAGATTAATACGCTGCCATGAAGACATTTCATTTCATTTACCTAAACTACCCGGAACCATGTAGAATATCTATAATCATATATTAGCCATATGTTTCTATAGAATCACCTAAACTACTTACACCCAAGATCACTGCATCCAAAGACATCTTTCCAGTCGTCTTGCTTAAAATATTTCCCAAAAGACCGACAACAAAGGCAGGAACAACTTGTAAGACCTGACTTGGCGCATTAGTATAACAGGCCAAGGCATAAGTTGTTACGAAACCAGCAGCTGCAACAAAAATCATAGTCGGCCATCTAGCCGGACGCGCACGAAGATAGACGCAGTAAGCAACGGCAAATAGTGGCACAGTTAGAAAATAAAACCATTTTGAAATGATGGTCCTGCACGTATTAGATCCAATCGCATCTCGACAAGCAGCAGCCCCACCTTGAGCAGAGACAGATTCTTGGTCAATGGTGCCAAATAATTCAGAGCCCATTTCGATACCATATCCCAACAAGAAGGAATAGACGATTGCATATACCATTCTGACAACCCCGCTTACAACCTGACGAGAAACTAGTTCGATAATAGATACTGCCATAGAGTAACCTGGTAATATGATAATAAATGAAGCAAAAGCAACCGGTGTGAAACAGAACCCATATCTCCAGACAGCTATTAAAAGAAAAAAGTAAGAGTCATGACTCAATTAGATCCAAACAGCCACTTACCTCTTGACACAAATCCAATAAATATACACACAGTAATTTCCCATATAGGCTGGAAACTTAAATAGCGACCAGTGAATAGCTCATAAAGAGCAAAAAAGACTTGTATATGTTAGTTTTGAAAATAGAAACATAAATGTATATATAACTTACTGGCTAAAGCAGCAGACAGACCACCTTCTTTGAATTGGCCACCATAAAACATGACACAGCCACAAAAGCTTGCAATAGCATAGACGATTGGGTTAAGCCAAATAGGATAAAAAGGCGGTTCATCAGCAACCTGGTCTATGAATTCCAAGGCCTCATCTACCGAGACTTCTCCATGTGACACTAGTTTCTCCAAGCGAAAGATTTCACCTAGTTTATGCATATCAAAATTTTGCGGGCATCGAATAAAATGTGTTTCTGTTGTATGCGTAGATTGATCAAAGAATGTCAAGAACATAACATTGGGTATATACACATATTCAGCATCTACACCAAGCGTACGAGATACTTGGCGCAAGATATATTCCAGTCTATGTGCTGGTGCACCATACAACATGAGTGCTTTGACTAGCTTTCGTAAAAACTCTTGCTTTTGTAAGATATTTGCAATTTCAAATGTGATACGGATGCGATCTTCGAGTGTTATAGGTTCAAATTGAGAAGCTGTTGTGAACATGCTATCAATCGATGACCTTCGTGACATGCTCACAGCACTTGTCATTTTTCGTTTTTGTAGGCTAGGAACAAGATGGTTGCTTGTTGTCAGCGTGGATAGCCAACTGGTGGGGCGATGCGTCAAGTTTGGCCTTGTATTGGTTGACGGAGTAAGTCCGTCGGAACTAAAGCTGGGCTGCAGGTTGTACATGGATCTTGGCTTCCGCATTTTGTTCTTTGGGCCCTTTTTTGACTAGGATAGAAATTCTTAGCATAAAGATATTGAATGAGTTCCTATTTACCTTTTTTCGTTTAACACTCTTTTGTTTCGTCAAAATGGCTTGTCTCCTTTGACTTTCTAATTTCATCAAACTAGCTAATACACTTCCGGTAGCGGCAGTCGGAGAGCTAGGTGATCTGCCGTCCTCAATGGATCCATCCCTTAAATAGATCGAGTCTTCGTCAATTGTATGCGTGTGATAATTGTGACTAGATGGTTCCACGTCATTTTCGATTCTCGTACTCAACATACGTTCAACAAGATGCCCGGCTTCCAAAATATGATCTCCAAATCGAACGTGTCGTTCTCTAGCCTCAGGTTGCTCTAATGCAGCTTCAACAAGAGTTCCGGCGGAATCACTCTTTTTACTTGCCGTCGTGCTCTTTTTCCCAGTGAGCTGTCTAGTACAGCTATGACGTCTGGGTAAATCCTGTTCAAGTATGTCTTCATACTCTGAGCTAGTCTCTGAATCAGAGGTTGTGCTGTTACTAGAGGCATTTTTACTGTCTGCTTCCATAATGGGTTCGTTGATGACTTCGGTTTGACGATTGTTTAAGTGGGCATCATTACTGCTACTTCCAGTGGTTGTAACTTGAAGTACAGGCAACAGTGGCCATGATCTTGAAGACTGCACTGAAGTTGATCGTGGTCGTTGCTGATTGTTGGTAGTGATATCGTCCAAGTTAGGGTTCTCCATTACATACAGAAAAGTGATCAAGAAGAAATAAAATACTTGCAGCTATTCGGGAATTAGATTGCCCTTGGGGAAAGCGAGAAAACATAGCGATTTCCTTATTTAGAAGGTTGTACAGTGCTTCCAGCAAGCAATGTCGCAGCCAGTCAAAAATGATGTCGTTGGTTGGTCAAGATCAATTCTAAAATTGACGTAGAGGAGATTGAGGATGTGGTAATAGGCTTTCCAAGCCACGCTTTATTTTCAGTAATATAACAATAAAAGTTTCTAATTCTATATCCCTATTCCTTTCTAATAGCAAATATATAGTTTTTTTTATGGGTGGGTGTTTTAAAAGAACTTTCTATACCATGGCCGAGACTTTACCATATCCTCAGTCTCCTCTACGTCGACTTTAGAATTGAGAGGCATACTTATCTCAATCATAGTTGACTCCGATTCGACTTCGGATGTGGTACTCTTTTTCATAAGGACTGATGGTGTGGTTTGTTGGGATATCGCTTTGGCAATGCTGGTACCTTCTAAATGCTGTTCTCTTGGCTTAAAGTAATATCTTTCAAACGTATCTGGCCTCTGGCTCCAGTTTGCATGATGTTTCAACTTTCTTATGTTAAGTCCTTCTAAAAAGGCTTTTGTACTGGTCGCAGAATGTGTTGAATGAGCTTTGAATTTTGTTGTATCTATACCTGACAAATGTAGTACTTTCTTGACCCAGTTAGCATTTGTCGAGCCGGAAGCTGGTGCTGGCACTTTCGACTCATGGTTGGTATATTTAAGAAATACTGTATGATCCTCGCTCGTTCCTATCCTACTCTCTCGTGTCTTGCTGCAGTAGCCCCATAATGTACACACAGGGTGCACTTCACTGTCTTCGATATATCCAAGTTTTGATATTTTTGCTGGTCTTTCCTTTGAAGCTCTTGCCAATAGAGTTACCCCTGTTGGTCTTGTAGCTGCGTCAATAAAGTGAAAGTCGATATACCGCCATTGTAATCACCCCAAATCCGATCTTGGTCGCCAGATAGTCCCCAAGCAAAGCAGAATGATGGTTTTCTTCTGCAATACGTCCAGCGATGAGTTTGTATTTACGGCCCAGTTTTCCTTTATGAAGGTGATTACCGACGACGGATCCCATACTTCTTGATACTTGTTGGGAATTTGTATCTTGATATTTCTGACAGACTTGAAGAACTCTTGAATGAAAATATCATTCGCCAGTCTACCTCATTCCGAATGAACAGCGTTGTATACTGACGCCAATCCCGATCGGATGGAACTCAAGTGAAACTTGGAGTACCTGGATTAAGAGGTCAAGTATTCCATAACTAGTCTTGTGTCCTCAGACAAAGGATTAGCTCCCTGCATCCTGCACCATCTTACCCAATTTCTCCATACATTCGTTGTATGCTCGAGTCAAAGTTTCCCTGTTCTTTTGTTGTAACATCTGCGTTACAGTTTCTGAGAGACCCTGTTTTTGATGGTAATACCTGATAACCTCCATGCGATCTGGGATATTGAAGTCGTGCTGTTACTCTCGTAAACTATTGGCTTACCCAATTGGAGAGGGAGAATCATTCGCCACCAAAAATGTGTTCTCCATAAAGGTATCACTAACACTGCTGATTCCACTCTGCCTTCTTTCAATTTTCTCAGCACTCTTGGTATGAGTTTCCAAGATGGGTTCAAATACAGCCTCGTCGACGGCTACCGTTGCTTGAACGCATTCACCTCTGTCGCTCCTGGATCCGGATGGCGGCTCTAATACGCTGGTAGAATGTCATATTTATCTTATAAATACTTAACATTGTCGTATGAAATTACTATAAATCTATACTCTAAGAATGAATGGTACAAAGATGTTGACAACAATACACGTTATTAACATATAACGCAACATGCCCAACTATTATTGAACATAATTAAATCGGTTCCTTAATAATTCTGTCTTCATATAAAATGACACTGTTTGTAATAATGAGCTCTCTCTCGTCTTAATATACAATAAAGAAGTTATATAGAGACTTATCGACACACATTTCCCTTATTACTTCTTTATATATTCGAGACATATCACAAAGGACATTGTTCTGATGTGCTGCGAATGCGTCTACCTTTATATTGGTCCATCGCCATCGAATCTGATTGAAGAAATTCTTCGAAATTTACTGCTCGTACACTGGAATGGATCGTCTGATGAGAAGGTCCGCAATGGTGTTCTGTTTCCCCGCTATATGTCGACAGATCAGCTTGATATGGAACACCTGCAGAATGCCTTGAATTTCTAATGTTAGTTGCTGAAGTATTTGTGATGCCGTTCCTCCGTATTTGTTGCCATATTTCAATGCCGTCTTGGTGTCGCTGTGCAATATTGTTGAACATAGGCTTTTTGGTGCGTGTAACTTCAGCGTAAAGAGAATCGTTCTCAGCTCCCGTACATTGATAGAATCGTCTTTTTCCGTTGCACTCCAAAATCCGTGTGCGCTTCAGAGCTCGAAGCTTATGCCCCAACCTGAGTCGGATGCGTCGACGTAAACGGTATATCTTGGGCTGTTTTCGTCTTGGGCTTGATCTGAACTTCCTCTGTAAATTAGTAACACGTTGTTCAAATCGAAAAAGTGAACCTTATCTTGGACGGAATAGCGCACATAATCGCGTTTTGTGCTTGCCTCTTTCATACGAATGCCTTCGCCGTTTGACTTTTCTGACAGTATTGGACAAACCGATGAAGATTCACTAGAGGGCATATTTTCAAGTACTCACTGTGAGTCGTAATCGGCTCTACAATAAATCAACCATATACTCCATGGGCTCAGGACCTCCATTCTCATCAACGACAATTCCATGCCCATCTTCAAATAAAAATATTGTACTCATGATTTAAACAATCAAGGAAAAAAAGAAAAGATCTCTTTTATATTTTTTCAAGCACCAAGAAGTCTCGTTACATGGCATCATTGTCAAATGCCAAGCGACATGATTTTTAAAAATACGACTTGCATCCCTGAAAGTGCGAAATTGATCTTGACCAACCAACGACATTATTTTTGACTGGCTGCGACATTGCTTGCTGGAAGCACTGCATAGAGAAGATGCCCAAGGAAAAAAAAAACAAGTGCAAGCCTTTTTCAAAAGGGAAACTAGGGTTTATTGCATATGAGAAAGCTTTTAACATAGAATATCTTTGCTGCATCATCACAATGATAAGATTAATAACTTTCAGAGTTACTTCAATCAATATTTAAGAAGAATAGTGGTTGAAATAAAAACAGCACCCAAATATTACTATTTAAAAGACGGCCTTGTATACACACAAATGTTTATACAGTATTTTTACTTAGTTTTCAGACCTTTTCAAAAGAAAATTGAAATCGTCCAAACTTTCTTTTGAAAAGGTCTGAAAGCCAAGTAAAAATACTGTACAGTGAAAATATCTTACTAGCCCACCACTACGCATTTACTGGACATTTAATCTTTCGAAGTAAAATTTCCCATAGTGTTTACATGCACTTCTGAGCACCCCTTTCTATTCTGTTTATGTAGAAAGCATTCTACAGTAACCAACGGTTCAAGTGGTTGTTCATGGATATGACATTCGATTGTAATAGGATCTAATATATAAAAAGCTTTAGCCCATAATTTGCCAGGCTGTTCTTTTGTATACGGGAGCTAACTGCTTGGTGACAACTCATTATTTACACTTGATCTTGTGGGATGCATACTGAATGCAATAGCAACTGGTAAGGTCCTATGCTCTTTATTGATGGATAAACTTGACGTTAATGGTATTCTGAACTTCAACTAAAATGGGAGGCAAGATAGGTGTGACTTTAACAGGTACAAATAAGACGTCGGAGCATTGTCCACTTGGCCATTCTGTAGATCTATTAACATACTGAGAAGCGACGTCAGAACCTGTACCTCTGTGATCATTCAGGAATATTAATTTTGGGACATGTTATTTAACTTGTTTTTATCACTGCAAAAGGGCTCCAATGCTTTCATTCTGACAAAAAAGGAAAAGCGTCTTGGCTTCAAATCGTTTTATTGGTCAATCGTTTCTCCACACCCAGTCGTGGTAAACTACACCTTGTTTGCTTGTAGACATTATGTACAGCTTTTTAACCTAAATTTTAGAAATTTCTGAATCTTTCAGTTAGACCACAAAAAGAGAGAGAGAGAGACCTCTTTTAATCGAGGTAACCAAAAACAGAAATGATCACCCTTAGAACGTAACTGACAGTTTATGCTGACCAAAGTAGAATTTGCTGTTTACAGAAAGGTGACTGTGCCTTTTCTTATTTAAATTCATGTGAGAACTGTCTTTTCTCTCTCTCTTTTTTTTTTTTTTTTTGTTCTTATTTTTCTCTCAAATGTCCACGAATACACTCTTAGACCACCTTGTTCCACGTTATCCAACCGCGATTATTAAAGAGGATAAAGAGTATAAGGAAAATTTGGTAGAGTGGGAAAAGTTAATAGATCAATTAAAAGAGCGATTGAGAGAGGCAACAGATGAGGGAAAACCTAAACATATTGCACTTCATAAAAAGCGCGGACAACTCTCAGGTACACACACAGCTCATTGTGGCACACACCTCTAGGCCGGAGTTTACTAATGCCGTATCACTTGCCTTAACAAGCTCGCGAGCGTATAGATCTGCTCCTTGATGAAGATTCACCTTTTCTTGAGCTTTGTGCTTTAGCTGGTTACGATCAGGATGATATGACATTAGGTACAAAAAATAGTCACATAACAAGTAGATATTAACTTTTATCAGGTGGATCCGTCGTAAGCGGCATTGGACTTATAAAGTAAATAATACACCTTACTAAAATATTCACTTCTGTTAACTTACTCTACACACAGCGGCGTGATCTGTGGTGTTTCTGCCAACGTACCAACTATGGCTGGTGGCGCATCTAATGAAACCTCAGTGCTAAAAACCGGGCGTCTTCATCAAATCGTTATGCAAAACAGACTGCCTACAGTAACCTTGACGCAAACTGTAAGTCATGAGCATGCATATTTAATTGAACCTGCTTATAAATATGTATATGTCATCATTAGGCGGGAGCTAATCTACAACAACAATTTCGTGTTTTCCATAGAGGTGGCGCCGGTTTTCGTAACCTCGCCTTGCAGTAAGTTATGACAGGTCTAGCTTTAGGTATATAAATTTATACAGTCTTTTATTTACAGATCAAAGGCTGGGATCCCTTCTTGTTGTGTAGTGTTTGGTAGCTCTACTGCTGGTGGTGCGTATATTCCTGGTATGAGTGACTATGTGATCATGGTTCAGGTAAACGAAATATCAATTCTAAATGACTTGTAAAAGCAACTGACGCCCCTTTCTTAGAAACAAGCACAAGTCTTTTTAGGTGGACCACCCTTAGTGCAGATGGCCACTGGCGAAGTAGTTGATGCTGAAAGTCTTGGAGGAGCAGATATGCACTCCCGCGTATCCGGTCTAAGTGATCAACTGGCCGTAGATGAATACGATGCTATCAGAAAAGCTCGTGACTGGATAGCTAACTTGAACTGGGAGCAGAAAGGCAAGTTACCTCCTAGACATTTGGCAGGTCAATATGAAGAACCTTACTACTCTGCAGGTAAAGAAATAGAAATAAGCTGTTGACCTTTCTAATGAAACATGCGATATTCTTTTTATTTTAGAGGAACTTCTTGGTATTGTTTCTGCAAACATTCGTATTCCCTTTGATGCTACTGAGGTCATCATACGACTCGTTGACGGCTCTCGATTTACTCCATTCAAGCCCAATTATGGTGAAAATTTGGTCTGTGGATGGGCCTTTATTCATGGTATGTGTATCATCATTGCCCTTGTCATAAATATACACAGAATTAAACCCGCTATGAACAGGAATCCCTGTTGGTTTCCTTGCCAATAACAATGTCATATTCAATCAAGAGGCAAACAAAGCTACACAGTTTATTCAATTATGTAACACCAAGTACGTATTAAGCTTGAGAAACTCTCTAGAGGGACTAATCAGCTTGTTAGAAACACACCGATTGTATTCCTACAAAACATCACAGGGTTCATGGTTGGAAAGAAGTATGAAGAAGAGGGCATTATTAAGGCCGGAGCCCGTTTTATTAATGCAATCAGTAACTCCAAAGTACCACATATCACCATCATGATGGGCGCTAGTTATGGTGCTGGTAACTATGCCATGTGTGGTAGAGCCTACGAACCACGGTAAATAAGGACCAAAAAAAAGATAGTGATACTTATTAAATCCCTTTTGTAAAGATTTTTATTTTCATGGCCAAACTCGAAATGCTCTGTTATGGGCGCTGAACAGTTAACGGGTGTACTAGACCTTGTCGCTAGACAGAGTGCAGCAAGGTAAAGTGGCATGTCTTTCTTTTAAACTGACCATAGCTTAATATTATCTATAGATCCAAGAAGAAAATTGATGAGGAGTTACTCGGTCAACGTAAAGCTTTGTTTCAAGCCTCTGTTGAAGGAGAATCGGATGTATACTACACCTCATCTCGCCTTTTAGATGACGGTATTATTGACCCTAGAGACACTCGTCATGTGATCGGATTTTGTCTTTCTGTGATCTATAATAATACCGTAGAAGGTGGAAACCTTTATGGTATTAGTCGTATGTAAAAGATTGAATATATTCTAAAGGCTATAAAGCAAAAACAAATTATTTATTGATCTTTTTCTCTAATTTTCGAGCGCATATGCTACATTTTCTGTGAAGCATCGTCTAAGATCTTCGTCATGAACAAATTCTCCTCCACCTTCAGAAGGTTTGGATAGTTCTAAATCTTCTTTACCAGAAACAATCTTGTCGTTTTTAGCCTGTCTTTTACTGTATATTGAATGAATGCGCTCTTCAATAGTATCCTGTATGATATAATGAAAAACAGTTGTCTGCATACACAAATAGTTAACATCTGAATAAAAACTAAAAGCCTCAAGTCCCTACTCACCTCATGAGTCTGCCCAATACGATGTACGCGATTAATAGCTTGTCTTTCTAAAGATTGGCTGAGGACCGGCTCAACTATAAAAACTGTATGTGCAGAAACTAAGGTAAGTCCACTAATGACACGCACAATGGTTAAAATCAAGAGCTCAACATAGGCGTTATGGTATTTACCTTGAATGACTTCTCGAGTGCAATAAAATCACAGTGATCTCAGGATCTTCTTGAAATCGGGACACATCGGCCCTTTTCTTTCCTGTGGTCAAGGTCATACACTTGATCTGGTTCCTTTCTAAGCCATGCTTGAGCATTTCAATCACTTTGGGAAACTGTGAAAAAACAATGCATTTTCCGTTGGTTGTCAACTTGATATATCGTATATGTCGAATGATACAATCTAGCTTTGCGCCATATTCTCCAATAATCTCTTGTTCGTTTATTCGTTCTAGTACCGCAGACAGAGCTTTGGAATCACTTTTAGTTATCTCGCCGTGGCGAACAGATTCGCTGTGGTTTGTATTGTCATGCGAGCTGTCATGATTAAGGATCTCGGCCTGCTTGTACGCTTTTTGAATGTCAGTCATAAAGGTAAAGGTGTCTTTTAGACGACAACTTACAGATTGTATACCACTGGTTAGAAAGAACTTTGCTATTACATGTATGGCATCGTTTGTTGGCCTTGATCCACATGTATCCACATTGAAAGCATGACTATAAAAGATAAGTATGAAAAAAGTAAAGCGACGGATAAAACACTTACTGTGTGGCCGCTGCAGTAAAAAACAAAAAAGATTGAATGATTAATGAATACATGCAATAATTCAAAAAGAGACTATATTTACCAATAAGTAATCATGCCTTTTTCTATAGGCTCTTGACAGATCAAGCAGTCCTTTTGAACCTTTCGTCCAGAACTATGCATTAAATTTTGCTCTTCTGTAAGTACTTGAAAGTACTGATTTCTTGATTTAGCTTGCGCTATTAGTTCTTCCATCTGTTCTTCATTCTTCTTGAGAGTCACGATTTCTTTTTTAGGATTTGGACTCTCCCATTCCTATATGCCTTTCTTTAGTTCATGTAGTTTAGTAGGATAAATAGATCGTTACAAGCAAAGTATCAGAAATCTGCTGAAGGTGTTTGTAATATGCTATACGCGCGTTGAGTAAGGATGATATCTTTCGAACATCACTAGAATATGGCTCAGTTACTTATTTCCCTTGTTTGATGAAGCACTTACTCATCCAAGTAATCAATCAGCTTAGTTTGTGTATGGACAACTGTCCTCATCCATTCACATTGTTCGCTTATGACTGCGCGTGCAACTTCAGTCTCTGGTACATTTTCAATGTCACTTCGCAGTTTTCGTAGATATTGTTCTGTGTCCTTGATACATTCAATCCGAAAAGATCCATTGTGTTTCAAATGCTTCCTGAAGCTACTTTCGACAGATTGAATACGTCTTGCTTCTTCACTCATATATTCACCATTCTCAACGTCTCCCGTAATCAACTCGGATATTGAAGGAACAGTTCCTATTAAAAAAAGTGTTGGATAGAGAACAACACAATTGTATTCAACTTACCTTTAATAATAAACTTTCGGTCTTGGAGTAATGCTTGATAGGCATTCAAATATACTTGACACATCTACAGGACAGTTATTAAAACCAACGTGTTTTATATATACACTCGATGCATTACCTCTTGCTCGTATAAAGAATTACTATATTCTTCACCTATTTATAAAAACGACTAGTTTAGCTTTATTTGAATATTCTTTCAAAACAAAATAACCTGTAGCGTTTGCCTCTGTGGAATCTCCTTGATCAACTAATTTTTGAGTTAAAAAGGGCAAAAGCTTGCCTCTTAGATAGAATATCTTTTCCAATTGCTTGTCCAAAACGATGCCAATGTTTTTCACATTTTCAAATGCGTTGGCATCGTACTGTGCTCTTAATTCTTTGTTCTCTGCATCTTCCTCTATTTCCTCATCGTCTTCATCCTCTACTTCTTGCAGGATAGATAGATCTATATCAAAATTACGTCCGCCTACGTGGAACGCGCCTTCATCAGATACAAATCTTTGGGACGCTTTTTGCATATCCTTCATAGTCGTATCGACCTTATCAGCCACCTTTTCAAGTATAACTCGACGTATATCGCCTGCTTTGTTATAGTATAATGTCTCCATATCTTCTTGTCCCAGTATATGATAAACACCAGCGGTGTAGAAATAGAACTGGTGTAGCAAGATCAGCCATCTGTTATGGTTCGTCTTCAAAGCGCTCAACTTTCTGTTAGATTCTTCTTCTTCTGCATTAGATAAATGCTTGTTCTTGTCCATATGCTTCTGAACTCTATTGAAATGATATTGTTCAAGTTCGACTACTTTGGGGATAGAAGCCAGATAACCATCCAAGGCAGCCTTCCAATCTTTGAGGACTTCATGCATGCCTGCAGACTTTAATTTAAGCTTATAATACGCGTGCTGATGATTATCCAGTGTCTCTTCTGCGGATTTTCTCATATATTCCAAAACTTCCCATAGTGATTGCACGTCTGTTTGATTATTACTTCCAGTAGGCCTCTTTTCTATACGCATAGAATCATTTGTGATTACTGAAGGATGAATACAATTCTGTCTAAGAGCAAGAAGCTGAAATAAGGGAGATGAGTCAACCTACACAAAAAGACCTTCCCATTTAGACTTACCCATGCTCTCATCCGAAGCTTTGTCGAATTAAACATCGTGGTAATTTCAGGTGATGCGTTCGATGGTAGAGTCCAATTGATACTATCTAACCACTCTAAATGTAAATCGTCCCGACACTTTCTCCAAAGATCATCGTAATAATGCTGTTCAATTGTAGAAAATGGCACACGGACGACATGGCGATGCTGCTTGGGGATACGAATCTGGTTTTCTAAATACCATTTTGTATTTCTTCTTATTGTAGTCTTTGCAAAATCAAGAAATACAGGCCGCATTCTCTTGTCATTGACACACTTTGCAAAGAGCTGAGGAGTAAATGTCCTTTCGATTTGTAAAAATTCATAGATGCCATATAGGTCGGTGTATTCCTTCTTCATTGGAGTACCAGATACAGCCCAAGAGTACCAACGAGGAATGCGTTTGGCCATCTTGGATACTCTAGTGAAGTTTGCTTCAATCATTTGTGCCTAAAGTATGATATCAATCCACTATGATAAACTCAATAGGCATGTCATTACCTCATCCAGCACACAACGAAACCAAAGTATAGACACTAGAGGGCTCAATTGAAATCTGTACTTGACAGCTAAAGTTCATTGCTATAAATAAAACCTCAAGAGATGTAAATATATTGGATGTACCTTGTCGTCGTGGTCGTTCTGGAGGTGGCTTTGAGTGATTTATTTCGGTTCTAAATGTCTATATATAAAAATCGTCTCATTTAGCGCTTGAAGAGTTGTTTATGACTTAATTCTATACCTCATAGTGTGTTAACACTACATCATATGCTGCAAGCTCGCTCGCTGCAATAGTATCATTATTTGCTCTTCCACTATAAATATAGACACGTAAACCAGGAGCGTGCTTCTTAATTTCAGTGCTCCATTGCCCTATAATAGGACCAGGTGCAATAATCAATGTGGCAGAAGAAATGGTCAAATCAGAAAACATGGCTTCTTGTGGATGAAAAGGATTGTCTTTGCTGTGTCTATGCTTCGATAATAGAGAGATGACACTGTTTATATATAATTGTATATTAATTGTTATGTTCCTTCTTTTATATATATAATAATTACCAAACAGTTTTTCCTAGACCCATTTCATCTGCCAAGACTCCTCCTCTGTATGACTGTATCTGTAATTCTTTGATGCGTTCAGCATCATTTACTTCTTCTCCAGTCACTTGGTTTACTAAAGATCCATTGATGTACTTGTGTAAGAGCGGAGGCTGTTCGTATAAGGTTGATAATGGACATACGTTGCCTAAAGCGTCTGCACAGTGGCCTTCTCTTTTGAGCTACAAACAATGTTTAGTTTGGGACCTGTATATAGACATTAAGAATAAATTACCATCCACTGCACATTCTGTGTTTGAAAAGGTGCCAAATGAGAGATGACTTGCTCAGAGGTATAGTTGTCAAGGTGGTGATCAGAAACAGGTGGACGTAAAGTATCAAAGAATGCTTCCAAGGAACTATCTTGAGGAGATTCTGGTTCTTCTTGTTCTTTCTGCATAAAATCACAAATCGATTTTACCAAAATGTTACCTCTGCTCTTTGAGTCTATTTTGATGCTGACAGTCATGCATAAACCAGAACTATCAAGTAGCTTGATTTCATTGACAACCAGTAACTTGGATTTAGCAGCCAAGGCAACGGCTGTAAACAATTGCCGTTCATCCTGGATCCTCTTATAACATGCATTCATATCTTGTTGCATTAGAACGCACTCGTTTTCCCATAATATCAGATTATCAGGTGAGGTTGCTGTCATACGAACAAAAATACTTTCTGACATGTCAATATAATCCCAATCTAACTTGATCGCATGAGATTGATGTTCGATTAATAACTGGAGTAGCGATCTGTGTTGGTCATAGGGTAGTTTGTCTATTCCTAAGAGTTCAATAGGAAAAACGAGTTGTATATCTTTTTCAAGATCTATCCTTCTCCTTTTAGGATCGCGATCTTTGACTTCTTGATTACTGACATGAGCGGCATATTTTAAGAGATTGTCTAACTTTCCTATTGTTCCTCGAATGAGTGTCATTGACAGATTTTAATGTGTTAAAGGGAAAAAAAAAAGAAAAAAAAGAAAAAAAGAATGAGACATCCTCCCTTTGCCTATTGTTCTACTGCGCACTTTATACAAATTCACTGTTCTTACAAGCATATTTTATGATTCAATTTCTCTTATTTACCTAAAGATCCTATAAAGGCTTTTCCATTCAAGATGATGGGCTTTGCGATAGGTGATTCATGGAAGCATACTATAAGTCAATAAACAACATTGCAAAAAGAAACAGAATAAGAGCAACATGCTTTCACTGCAAAAAGGTTGTCAAGAGATAAATGCATTGTTACTTTATTATTTGTCAAGGTAAAACTTTAATAGCTGCCTTTGTTCTTATTCTTTTACATAACTACAGCCTAAAGCCATTTGTTTCATCTTTCAAATGAAAAGATAAAAAAAAAAAGGAGAGAAAGCAGGGTTTGATGGAGTAACACAAATGATGTGTGACCAAGACTAGGAACTATGCCCAGGAACGAGTGACATATACAAAGGATGCATGAAATTTATTGTCCTTTCATATTTTACTATGTAAAAAAAGAGTTGGGCAACTCCATTAAAATATACATACAAATGACAGTTTAAATGAATAGAACAAGTATAAAAAAAGCCATGAAACACTTTAGAAATAAACAAAGATGTGAGCGTAAACCTTATTTTCTTGTAAGGAAGTAAAATGTTATCTAAATAATGATTATCGATAGGATAGAGACCAATAACTTCACGTAACTAAAAAAGAGGTATAAAAAGAGGGGAAATTTGCTCTTTTTCCTTTTTTTTCTCTCTTTTCTTTCCCTTTATACTTTTTTTCTCTTACTCTTTTTGGTTCCTTCTGGTATCACAAGCTCTCTTCGGTCAAGGTAAGTTTTCTATAAAGCTTACTCAGTAAGGCGATGATTGTGTGTTCAAGGATTTCTATGCAATCTCTTTCTATGATGCTCAACACATGCCCTGGACTGACAACGGTCGTTCGTTTCATCACTCAGCTGGAGGCTTTCAGGCAGCCAAAAGGAGAGTTATGGACATTCGATTGGAATCTTTACAGGGAGCTAACTAACTATCTGGGAGCTAGTTATCTGAGATCACAGCTGTGACAGATTGTTGGTGCTTCTTACTGTTTAGCTGGCGCGAAGGGGTACATAAGCTAGTTGACAATTGACTAGGCTCAACTAATGCATACTATTTGATAGTCTGATGGTTTTTATGGGTGTCTGGTCCCTTGTTTTGATGGTCAATGACCGACCTGAAGAACGTCCTCACAGCAGCAATCAGAACCTTTAAAAGTCTTTGGTGCAAAACATGGGGTTTTGAAATAACTTTTACTAATGTCTTCATTTAAAGTCGCTGATTGAGTTTGTCGTACAAAAATTTGTGTTTAAAAACGATGTCGTTTGATTAAAAAATAAAGATGGCCTGCAACTACACGAGATCCATTGGCATTCCTTCTGAATTTGCTTTCACTATGTCCTTTAGTTCCCCAAACCTAGTCCTCACTTAGTCTCAGCGATGGCCGGTTATATGCTCCATAGTGTATGAATTAGATTCAGCTACATCATGACAAACTGGTCCCTATAAAACATCCTCCATAGTCAAAAGCTTTCTTTTATGGTTAAATCAATTTTTTTAACTTTTCATCGATAACTTTACTCATTACTTTTCTTTTATATTTTTTACTTTGATCCCATAAGGTGAGATTTTTTTGTTTTCTTATCACTCACTTCCAAACGGATTGAACTAACCTGGGCAGACGTTAATATCTGTATTCAAACATGAAAATAAAAGTGCAGGGAGTAAATGGCTCTATACTTGCGATTTATTAGGCTTAGTTATGAAAACGCTTCAAAGAGCAAGACCGTTTACGATTCTGAGATGCTGAGCAAATGCCGTTAAAGGCTGTTGCAATGACCGTTGGCCAGTGTCGCATGGGCAATGCCTGGGGCATATCCATGATGAACTTAATTATCCAAGCAATCAAGCACCTTGACCTTTGTCAGCTCGCGCATGGCATATAAGCCCGCGACTGGCAATGCGACGACATAAAAGGTGATGGTACGTCCAATCACTTGCAGACCCAAGACACCTTCCGTATTCTGAGCATCAAGGATATCCTTGCACAAGATAGCAATTCGAGGTAGATCTTGACAAATTAAGAAATTGTCGGTACCTTGTAACGCAGAATTTGATTCTCCATATCTGAATGTCGTTTTCCATTTCGGTTCACGTAAATTCGATATAGTGAGGTCGGGACAAATCGTCGAAAACCCTTCATAGGTGCATTAGCCCCATATAGCTGATGCTTCAAAGTTAGAAGAGGATAAAATATAGGGCCAAAATGTATATAACCTGTAACTGTGACGATGGATCAAGGCATATTGAGAATACTCTGTAAAGACTTGTTGAAAGTGGGCATCTTTGTGTAATGTTTTGTGCATGAATCCTAAATAACCCAAGTTTACGAATGCTTTTCAGTCTGGATAGACAAAAATATAGACAATTATCTTAAATGACTACGTTTTATTTAGAGACTCAATAGTTTATGTAAAAAGTCTAATCGAATTGTATTTTAATAAAAAAAAAAAAAAAACCAAGTTGTGTAATGTACGTATAAACAATAAAAAAAGGAATCATGTGCATATAAAATACATTGCCTTTACATAGTTTCAGAAAGGCTTTGGGGTTTAAAGTTGATCATATTTGGTACAGGACGATAGATGTACTAGAAAAAGGATGAGTGTTATGTGCTTAATGATTATCTTTTTTTTTATACTCACATCGCGATAAAGTTCATCAATCTTCATTCGCACTAAACATTTACCAGGTACTTTTCTAGGTTCCATAAACATGGGCCACATGATATGGTCCTTTGGAATATACTGAGTCATATACTTGCGAACAATTTCCCATCCTTCACCACTATAATGAAGATCTAATACTCGAATGAGTCTTTGTAGGTGACAGTGGAAGAGAGTATGATACAATAGTTTAGCGACCTAAAACATTCATGTTGGTATACATGTTTGTTTGCTTCATAACAATATTTACCTCATCTACTGTCTCTGCTACAACACAGCTATCAGGTAAAACGTCTATTTCACAACCAGCAGATCTCTTGAGTGTCTCATTGTGCACCTTAACCCCACCAAAATCACGAATAACAAATCCTTTGAGTACACCGGTCTTTCTGTCGAAGCGTGCCAAGGTATTTTGTCCATGTGCTTCAAAAGCGACACCATTTTGTAAACAGGGAGGTAAGAATGCACGCAAGGCAAAGTCAACGTATCTAGTAGGGGTCAAATAAAAAATGGTTTTAATCATCACACTTTTCTACTTTCTATGATTTTTACCTATCCAAAAACTCTCTTCGCTTTTCTTTAGTGTCCAAATTCCAAACATGTGTTACTAATGTCTCATCCGTATCTGGTCTCTGTATCTTTTCAACCAAGGCAGCACAAGGAACAAATAGGTCATCCTTGTATTGAGGATCATATTCTACAGCTTCACGGATAACACTACTACAGTGCTTGGCAATATCGGAATCTTCATGACGATAGGTAATTGTCCCCAATTCACGTTCAATGGTTAGGATATCATGATCATACGTTAACCGAGGTACAACGTCGGACGAGAAGCCAGGCCCAAAGTAAGTTGTAAAAGGTGTGACGGTGCGCATGGCAGACGAAATTTTCACTCCCAAACAAAGCTTGACACTCAATCCCGGCAAAATATCAGGTCGAGCCACAGAGCGTAATGACGTCAAGGCTTCCACGCTGATTTGATAGTCCTTTGAAAAGATGATGGCATCCTTGAATTTTTCTTCAACGTTGGGTAATTGTAGTTCGTGGATAGCGATAAACACATGATTAGGATATTGCTCACGAATTTCCTTGTGACTTCCACCAGCGTCCATTAATGCATTGATCAGGGGCACAGACAACTCTTCATAATTACCACGTAGCAAGGCTTGTTCTCGTGGAATACCTACCAAGCGAATATAAGGATGATCGAGATCGTAAGATCCGGGATAAAGGGGAGGCATTGGTGGAAAGCTTTTGCGGGCTTTATGCATCTGATAGTAAAAAAAAAAAAATATGACGTATTGTTAAACCTTGGAAATTTTAAAGTTAAAAGAAAACTTACAGGATGCGTAGCATGGCCTTCAACAATGGATTGTTCCCATTTAATAGTAGAAGATTCCCAAGATGGTAAAGATTTAGGATGATCGTAGGTATATTCTTTTTTTTTTTAAAAAAAAAGGTTAGTCTCTCGTCACCCACTGTGTCCCCTTCCTTTTTCCCTTACTTTGAAACATGATAGAGGATTGAAGCTCTTGTCCAATCTGCTCCCGTAACTTGGAATTGATGGTCAAATCACTAGCAAACTGAGCCCAGAGACTAACAGCGTCGTATCCATCAATAAGATCAAAGGACTGGTTGTTGTCCAAAATGGATGACAACGTATCAGCAGTTTTTTGCTTGACACTGCCAGATGCTTTGAACTGGCTCGACAGTTCAACCGAGTAAATGTGAGGGAGCATGTCAAGGTTATCGACTAGTTCGATTCTAGGACAAGCCACGCCATTCCATACAGCCACGTCTTGCTTGTTAAGGATAGGCAAGCCACGAAGGGGAACGACCGTAAGAATGTCTTGGATAGTTACCTTTTTGGGTGTTTCCACTTCTTGTTCTGTTGAAGTAGCACGTAGCAGTAAACATAAGCCAATAGATGGATCACAATCATCAATAGACTTGATAGGTATAAAGTACACTGGAACCAAAGATTCGGATACCAAACAGGTAATTAAGCGTGAAGTCGTAGCAAAGCTTGCATAACGCTCATTTTGATATTCACTTGAAGCAACAGGCATTTTTAATTTTTTATAAAAAAAAAAAAAAAGTCAGTAAAGAGGAGAGAGAATAAGCGGGAAAATCTGTTTATTTATTTTGTCATATCATCCTCTGAGCTTTAAATGAGCAAATTATTTACTGAAATGATCTTATCAGATTTTGATGAAGATTCTTTAGAACTTTGTAACACGTTAACCTTATGCATGCAAGCTTAACTCACGTATCAGTCCTTTTATAAATAACTTTAATCAAACAATAAAAAGAAACAAAAGGTACTGATAAGAACATGGTCTCAAATTATACCCTGTCTTTTTTTTTCCGTTGTGGAAAGTCAAGACACGATGGTTGTCACACTTGTGTGTTACTGGAAAAAATTATTAAGGTTAAGCAGGGATGGCTGATTATGTTTATCAGATTTTGGTGTCATGGTAATTAAATGGGCTACACAGGGTTTAACTTTGTTTGTACATCTAGAAAGTTTGGAAAAATTTTTTGATGAATTGTTTCGTCCTTTATTGTAGATTATTAATACAAAGCAATAAAGTTAATATTAAATTGTTTTTAGTTTTGACACATCACATACAGCTATTCACTCTTATTTTAACAGCTACAGCTTTTCATTAGCCTCCGTTAACTACACAACAAGTTATGACACCTCGTTCATAAACCAAACACAGCATCTCCGCATACATAAAAATATAATCGTCTGGACATTATAGCATATGACTTGAACATCGCTTGCGCAAGGGACCCATTGACCACATAGCTGTATCCGTGTAAGTAACACTCTTTTGTAACCATGCACATAACACTATCCTCATATCTCTATTTTTGGCTTGATGTTTTGTCATCAGAGAATATTGGCTTTCATTTGTAATGATCAAGTTACCCTGTTTTGATAACGTTTTTTTTTTTTTAATTTATTCACAGCGTACGTCGCATTCCGATGTGCCACCTTGCAAAATTCACAATGTTTATGCGATCAATGAGGCTCAGCTGATGCACTTTAAAGATAAAATACAAAGACCATAAATGACACACGATATTTTTATTGTATCGCTTTTGCCCTGGTCATTTCAAACGCGAAAAAAAGAAACATCTCTAGAGGGTAAAAATGCTTTGAACTGAGAGATTCACACAATAAGTGTTAAAGGCAGCTGCTACGCAAGGCCTACCGTAGCCATATATAAGTAATTTCTGTCCAGGGGTTAGATGATGGTGGCGGTATTTTTTCGTGATATAGAAGATCAGATTCATGCGAGATAATGCAGACTATGAGCCAAAATGATATTGTTTGAAAGGAGCATGGTTTATGGGTTGTGAAGCTTATTTAGGCTTGGGCTGATATACATTTATCATTGGAAATAGTTTACATGACAAAAGAAATATATCATATGAACAGATCAGCTTCGTTACTAGAGAAATCACAGCTGCAATCCTTCAAGGACAACGCTCCATCTAGCCAATAATTTGAAGTTTGCTGAGTATTCTCTGCAAATCAAAGGTCGTATCATTTAGACATTGATAGAGTATTCTGCAATGAAAAAAAGTATCAATAAGCATCATTTGCGCATCAGTAACACAGAACTGACCAATCACGAGAGTGATATTAAAAGTGTTGTAATACTTTATTGAGTCTGTTTGTAAATCAAAAGAAATAGCAGTCATTTGTATAATGTAAACATCGCTAGATATTTTTAGGATGGTTAATTTGAAGAACAGCAGGCTTATTCTATTAAAACAATGATTAACAAAAATTCATAGCATGCTATGATTTACATGTAGTTGAACGTATGCCTTTATACCCTATCCTTTTTTTTTTGCGCGTTTGCTTATTTTATTAAAGAATAGTAACTCACGAAAAGAGCCACGAGCTGGAGAGCCTTTATATTCAATTATCCGTACTTTTTTCTATAGCTGACATAAAATTGTCTTTTTGACCTCGTTCAAGATGAAGTTCTTAAGCGCACAGTCAGTTTGCACGGTTATCACGATGTCACTTTACTTAAAGATTTCTTAGGCATTTAGGCAAGGTGAATAGGTTATTTATTTATTCATTTTCAAGGATTACTATTTTCTGCGTCACAGAGCATGACCAAGTATTTATGGACAAGATTTTATGCATAATGAGGCCTTGAGCAATCGTTATTGCGTCGAGCAAAAGGTTCACAGGGAGAGTTGTATATCAGTCCCCATAGTTGCTTTTATATCCTTTCGTATGTCTCAGTATTCAGGCTGTTGCCAAAAGTAGAAACTATTGACTTGTGAAGCTTGTTATTGTTTTGCAACAGGAGAATGAACGATAAAGAAAAAATGAATATTCGACTCCAGAATAAGGGCTATTTTGTTTTACAAATTCGAATTATGGCTATTGCAGCTGGCAGAATTTTTCAGAAATATCAACTCCACTTATGTGCAAAAGATCAGCACCAACTTACCTATTAAAAAAAATGGGAGTGATATATACTTTATAGTTGTATTAGAGCAAAGGAAGAGGGACTCCTGAGTCTATTTATTGACTAACGACATGAATAATCCGATATGTGACAGATTTTATGCATGAGATTCTATCATATTAAAAAGTTTGCTTTATAAAAGGTAAATCATCCCAGCCTGCTTATTTTCATCAGTGAAAAGTTGTTTTCATAAGCGACAACTGAGAAATACTTAAACGAAAACAACAAAGAACGTTCAAAAAACGACAATTCGATATGGAAACACAATGCTACACAGTTAATAAAAAAAAATGGGATTTTAATAACCTTTTTGACTGTGTAGACCGGACGCCTTTTTTATTGGTGTGTGTATCAAAAGTGAAGTTGCTTTCATCATTCGATGTCTCCGTCGATATATGTTGACTGTCTTTTAGAGAAATGGTTTATTATCATTGCTTCTTTCAATTATGTTTTGTTAAAAGTGTACCTACTTTGTACCTACTTTATTTTTTTGGTTACATAGGCACTGACTGTGAAATACAGTCTTTGTAGACCTGCCACATATACATTTCAAGCTTTCATCAAAGCACTCAAACTGTTACATATAGTAAAGTTTATTTCATTCTTGTAAAAAAAATAAAAAAAAAAAAAAGAGAGAAAGAATGGCTATACAACTAAAGAACAGGGCAAAGGCTGCGGTTATTTAAAAATCGAGTTTGCAAGATCTTTTTCGATCACTAATTTAAAAAAGGCTATGATTGGTTCCTGAATCACAGCTAATTACATGAAATAAATCTTGCTGCACGAAATTAAAAATTGCATTTCTCTCCATTAAATTATGAGTGCAACAGCGCATAGCTCAACTCCTCCAGTCAAAAGGACTACCAGACGCAAGCCATCTTTTATCAATCTATCCAACATTAACAATAGCATCTCGGCAGCTGTCTCCTCACCAAGAACCCCTCGATCGATCTCAAAATCAAGAAGACCCTCCATTGTGCAGGAAAAGCTGCAGACCAAGGCCATCCCTAGTCCTGGGAATCCATCAGATGATACAGTACCTACCATGATGCTGTCAGATACAACCAACTCTTATTTCCAACAGAGTAATGCCGAATCAGAAGAACCAAAACATCGGTATCCAACTCGACATCGATCATCTTCAGTTTCTAGTCTACTGAGTTCTAATTTATTACCCAATTTTGAAGTTCATAATCAATACAAACTCAAGACGACACGATCATCAAAGAAATTGGAGCGTTTCTTTGGTGAAGATGCACCACATGATATTTGTGTAAAGGAGATCAGAAAAGAGGGGTTAAAGGCAATCCTTTTGTCAAAATATCCTCTATGTTACTTTTTGTACTATCTCTTGGAGGAATACAGCAGTGAGAATTTGGTAAAATGCAAAAATGTAACCTAGAAAAAACAAGGTCCTTACGTCACAACAAAAAATAGTTCTTTTTCATAGAGTTGGAACAGTATGAATCATTCACTTATGCCACGCCGCGCCAGCAAATAGAAACAGCCCAGCACATCTATAATACATACCTTACGAGAAATAGCCATTTTGAAGTAAACCTGGATGACAAAGTTCTTAGGATGGTTACACAGTTACTACAACAAAAGAACCCCAAATGCTTTGAATCAGCGAAACCAGCGGTGTACACGCTATTAGAATCAAGCTACATGAGATTCCAAAGTTCTGAAACGTTTGATATCATGGTTAAAGAGTGCGGTAAGGCATCTTAAATATCTATTCAAGCTGATGACTTATATGCCTTATAGGTGAACTAACAACGTATTACAGTAATGAAACAAGATCAGCAGCGGTCAATAGATTATTGAACTATATACAAATCTCATCCAATACGGCTACAGTGAGCCAAGCAACTAGAAAGAGACACGAGTTATTAAGACTTATGATCTATGAGTTCTGTCGTACTTGCATTGGTGTAAACTTGGATTGTGTTTAAAAATTTTTTTTACTGTACTATATATTTTCTCTCTCGGCCAAATAAAAAACCCTTTTTTTTTTTTTCAAAACTAAACATGACTGACAAAAGGGGTCCAACTGAAAAAGAACTTCAAAACCTTGCTAAAAAGGTTGACAAGCTCGTAAAGAAGACAGAAAAGTTAAAGAGCACCGGTGCCTCGAGTTCTGCCCCTTCAAGTAGTCAAGAAGCTACCTTGCAGCAACTTCGACAAATGATGAAAGACATGGCCATGTTGGAACAATCTGATCCAACCATGGCTGGTAGAAAGAGTATGACCGACCACAAGTTTTGGAATACACAACCTGTTCCTAGTCACGGTACGCTTTTTTGTTTTAAAATGAGGGTAATAACTTATATACTTTTGCGTATAGACGAGCATATCACTGAATCCGGTCCCATCGAGCCAGATATTCCATACGATCAAATCAGAAAGGAACCACTTCCTTTGCCCAAAGAATTCGAGTGGTGTGAAGTGGATATGGCAGATGAAAAGCAGGTAAAGTTTAATAGTGAAGCTTAGCAGCATATAAATGACTCATTCTTTATAAAGCTCAAGGAGTTATACGAACTGTTGTCGCTAAACTATGTTGAAGACGACGAGGCTCAATTTAGATTTGATTATTCGGCTGAATTCTTGAAATGGTACTGAATGATTTATTGGATAGTGTTTTAAAAAATGGAATTGACACATGTATACAATAGGGCGTTACAACCACCTAATTGGAAACAGTCATGGCTGGTTGGTGTGCGTGTTGCTGCAAATAGGAAGCTTGTTGCCTTTATCAGTGGCATTCCTGTTGCGCTAAGAACATATGAGCAGTAAAGAGAAAGAAAGGAAAAAAAAAAAAAAAGATGAATCAACTGATAAATATATGTAGTGTACATCATTTGGTAGAGATCAACTTTTTGTGTGTGCATAAAAAACTTCGATCAAAACGTTTGGCGCCTGTCTTGATCAAGGAAGTTACGCGTAGGGTTCACTTGGAGAATATTTTCCAAGCTGTCTATACTGCTGGTGCAGTTCTCCCTAAACCTGTGTCTACTTGCAGGTAAGTGGATCATTTGTATAAAAATATGCACTTTTTTTTTGTAATTTGTGATTTCTTGCAGATATTACCACAGATCGCTCAATCCAAAGAAGCTAGTAGAATGCAACTTTTCACGTATCCCAGCTAGATCTACACTCTCACGTATGATAAAGCAGTTCAAATTACCCGAACAAACGAGTACTCCCAATTTAAGGGAGATGAGAGAAGAGGATGTTTCTCAAGTACGCGAATTGTTGAATCAATATCTGAGTCGATTTGATTTTGCGCCTATCTTCGAAACAGATGAGGACGTCAAACACTGGATTCTTCCTCATGACAAGGTTGTCTGGAGCTATGTCGTTCAAGATCCTGAAACGAAAAAGATCACAGACTGCTTCTCGTTCTATTCCCTTCCAAGCAGTGTCATTGGTAATCCCAAGCACAACACATTGAATGCTGCCTACATGTTTTACTATGCTATTGATTTATCTGCTCATGAGGATAAGGACAAGCAACACAAATATATTAAAAAGAGACTAAATGAACTTGCCCATGATGCTTTAATCTTGGCCAAGAAGGTAATCAAGTTTATGATAAAAAAAAGGAAGCTAATCAATTATTAGGCTGACTTTGATGTTATGAATACACTCAATTTAATGGATAACGCATGCTTCGTTGACGAGCAAAAGTTTGGTAAAGGAGATGGATTCTTAAACTATTATCTGTACAACTGGAAATGTCCTGATGTTACTCAAAGCAAGGTTGGTCTTGTTATGCTTTAAGAACTAATAAAATACCTCACTCAGAGATTGTTGCATATAAACCAAATAATTGAGTTTCTACATATATAAAGAGTACAAAGCTCGAAGTGTAATTGAAAAATAAATGGCAATTCTTGAAAAATAAATAGCGTCTAGCTAAAAAATAATTGGCGGCCTGTTGTCAAATGATTGTCGTTTTCGAAATTTTACTTTATCCGTTGATTAATAAGGCTCTATTATGACTTTTTCTAAATGCAAACAGCTGTCTATTCGTATCTTCTCTTTCTTCTTAAGCGTTGTATTTAACCAATGGTTAGTTGTAGTTGCGTATCTATTGAGGCTATGGCAATTAGCACAATTATATTCGTTAATTTTCTGTAGTCGCAATCCTTTCTGGAAACTTGCAAATATACTACAACTGACCATCCGAAATATTATGATGTATACCATTAATTGAATCTTCCTTACATTTAAGCCTTTGTCTATTTACTGTATTGATATTCTATCATTGAGATTACTTTATCAAATAAGTCTATTGAGTTGATATCCTTAAAACAACAACAGAAATGCATCGGTTTTCTTTGTCTCAGGATCAGTCATTACTGCAAAAAAGCTCAGCAAAGTCAAGTCAGTTCACAACACAAGTATTCCATAATATCAGTAAATAAATATATGGTATTTTAAATATAATATCGTAAATGGAGGCAGTAGCTATTCCAGAAAAAAAAAAAAAATTATCATTGTAGATATAGCTCGATTTCGTTTTCCTTTTTTTACTTCTTTTCTTTTGTCTGTCTTTCTTTGATTACCACAGGATATTGAAACAAGCCTCTTCCTTCATAGCTTTCAAAAAAGAGTTTACATGAAAGGGAAGAATAAGCAAACAACCACTTCTCCACAACAAAAGGAGTCATCCAAAAACGTAGTGGAAGATAAGATATATTACAAATGATTGGCTTGTATTATATCTAATGTTGACTACAAAAATCATGATATTATAGACAAATATGAGAATATGACAGAAGAGAGCTCTGATGACGATTTTCAGTAAACTATAACTCGAAAAAGGAAAGGTAAGTATAAGCACAATAGGTCATCTAGATAATAGTCGTCTCAATATGAAAACAATATAGGTAGGGAGCTTACGCCTGTAAATAGTTCTCAAAAACGAATGAAGAAAGGCAAAGAAAAGCCTAGTAACTCTACTTCTACTGCTACCGTTGAATCTAAATCTAGTGATGATGCTCCTCTTACAAAGTCTACTGTTGCTACTGCAAAGCACAACTCCATTAGTGACTCTAATAGTTCATTCGCAAACGCAAACACAGTAAAAAAGTGTGTGATAGCAGCTAAAACCACTGTGAAGTCTATATGGAAGCCAAATTGTACACAGGCTTTGCACGAGCTAGTGAATATAGCCAACACACTGGTAGCTCACACGTTTGCTTTTTCATATATTCCTGAAGGAGTTAGAAGAAGACTTTAACTTTGACTTGAGCGATTACATAAGAAAAGAGTTCTTTGTAGAGGCCTTCTTGAGCCTCACCGTTAGAGCAATAGACCTGGAAGGCTTCTTGGTAAAACCGCAAATTATAGGTCATTGGTTTCAAAACATAAAGAATCCTATTGTAGAAGTGCAAGCTATACACCAATCGCGCTAGCGAATGCTCAACAGATAGCATTGTATGAATGCACAAAGATTCAAATCGCATACTTTAACAACACCAGGGCACATTTTAGGAGTAGACTAAGGGCTATTCTTAACAAGCTTTGAAAGACCAAGGAACTGGCTGCCGACCTGCGTAAAGATCTGAAAAAGAAAAATGTAGACAAAAAAAGCCATAAACAAGGCTTTGAGAGAGGAAGTGTACGATCCTTGCAACCAGGTAAAGCGTGCTATTGAAAAGAAAGAGATCCCAGATGCTACCATCTTGGACACTTCTGCAAGAAAAAAAGCCGAAGCCATACTGCAGCCATACCCAAACAACTACAAGTTCAAAAAGGATTCTATCTTTTACGACGTAAAATCTAATCCTGAATGCCACTAAATGGCCTTTATGAAAATAGCTGAACTTTTCGACCCAGAAGGGTTGTGCCAATTTTCTTGCTTTCTCTTGCGAACCACATTCATTCCTTGCTATATGACTTTAGATTTCAAGATTATTCACTATAATGTCTTAAAGAACAAGACAGCACTAAAAACGGACAACAAATTTCAAACTTGGGGCTCAGTAGTAAATACAAATAACAAGGCTTTCAAAGACCAAGGAATGAGCAAGTCGCTGTACCTTCAAAGTACTATCGAAACCGATGATGTCGGCACATCTATAATCAAGCAAAACACTACTACAAATAGAAAAATGGCACGACCTAAGACAAAGCATGAGAAGTCTGAAGATGTCGCAAGGTATATGGAAAGTCTGACCCAGGAAGAGCTGAATGAAACCAAGAGTAAGTGTGTCTTGATGGATCCTGGAAGACGAGATCTGCTCTATTGTATGAAGGAGACGAGCACCGCGCAAAATAAGCAAGTTATGATTTACACAAAGATGACAAGAACAAAGGTTCCAAGGCATTATAGAATTCTGCAAAAGAAAACCAAGTCTGCTTCGTCAAGATAGAAGAACACAAAGTGTATATCAAGACAAGAGGTTTGGTTGAAAAAGCACTTTGCTCATATTATGGAAATGAAACACTGCAAACAAAGCGATCTTATTTTTCCAACCATTGCTTTGACTTCCATTTGAAAAACAAGGCTGATTTGTGCTTTGGACATTTGTTCGTTGCAAGAATCAGGGGGTATTTCCCTCGGTCCGACGAATCTACTAGTATCGATATGCACGCTACTTATTTGGAGCTGATGATTAAGCAGAGACACATATCAGAACGTTTGGATAATGATGACAAGGCCAAGTTACTTGAGATTGTAGCAAAAATGTCCAAAGAAAGCAGTGATCAAGACAGTTTAAAACAGCAGGCAGACCAAATATTGGTAAAGCTACAAGTCTTGTCGTTTCGCAAAATAAAATTCTCCTCCAAATTATATTATGATCAAGATGGCCTTGTGTTGGTGAAAAAGCTCAAACAAAACTTTGGTTCTGATGCTATTCTTGTTCTTGGTAATTGGTCTGCTCCTAACACAAAATATCAAGAGCCAACAAGAAACAAGGACCTGATCCAAATGCTAAAAAAAACGGTTTTGAAGTTTTCTTAATTGATGAATTCAGAACGTCGTCTTTCTATCCTTTATGTGAAGGTAGGTTGGGGAACTTTAAAACAGTACGCAATCCAAGGCTCTATAAGAGAAAGGCTAAGCCTACTGTACTCTGTCATGGATTACAACGGTAAGAATGATGATAATGCCAGACATTATGAGATTTCTAACCACAATAGTTACTGGGCTATTAGATGTACAAACTCTGGCTGTTTAGAACAATTAAAGCCAAGGTTGTGGAATCGTGATCTTGCAGCCGTACTGAATATCAAGAAAATTCTAACCAGCTTAAGAGAAAAGGGAACACACCCTGAATTGTTGCACAAAAACAGAAGAATCCTCCACCAAGGCTATCGCCAGATCGTAGCCAAGTTTTGATTACAATCGCTTGATCATTTCATACAGGTATTATCTTTTTAAAAAGACAATAGTCAATTAACTAACCGTCAATTTGATTTAGTAGGTTTGTGACATTTAAATAGAGTCCTCTTGGGAGCTTTTTTTTTTTTTTTTTTTTTTTTTGATAGCGCCTTGAAAAGATTATAAAAAAGATGACAGACTTTGCTCTATCCAATAAAGAACCAAGAAAGAAGGAAGTGTCTATAAGCATCTCTTT